GGGGCAAGCGGACCGGCGTGAGCGTGCGAGAGACGCGAAAGACAACGCGTCCGCCTGCGGCCCAAGAAGCGAGGCGTGTGCTTGCATGTGCGTGTGCATGTGCATGTGCGTGTGCATGTGCCGAGAGAGCGAGAGACGGGTGCTGCTTGCATGTGCATGTGCATGTGCGGAGAGGGTGTGCGCGCGAGTGTAGCCGAGAGACAGAACGACATCTCCGCTACATCTCGGCTGCATCTCGCGGCTATGTCTCGGCTGCATCTCCGCTACATCTCCGCTACATCTCGGCTGCCTCTCGGCTGCATCTCGGCTATGTCTCGCCCAGCGAGGGGAGGAGGGACGTGATCGAGACGAGCCCTACACTGGGGTAAACAAGGTGAGGTCAGAGTTGTAGATGCCGTCTCTCCACACACACACACACACGAGGTGGGTGGGGGGGGGCAAGGGGGGGCGAGGTGCAGAGAGGTAAATACACCAGGGCGGGCGATCGCGAAAGAGACGACGCTGACACAGTGTGAATGGAGAATGCGGCCGAGTAGTAGAGTGGACTACGTGTCCCCTCGAGCGCTATTAATAGTTAGAGGACTCGAGCATGCGTTTGTTTGGCTGGTCACACCCTCGTTCTACAGGGCCAGGCCGGGCGGCGGCGTCGCGTAGTCGTCGCGCAGGATGACCTAGAGAGAGAGAGAGAGAGAGAGAGAGAGAGGAACAGAGGTAAGCATAGAGGGTGCAACGGGGGCATGGTGTGGGCAAATGCGATCTCACTGACTCACGCAGCAATATCTGTGTCTAGGAGGGGTATGCGGCCGGCGCACCAGCCGAGGCCCCACGCTGTCCGACGTCTGGTTGCAGACGCGGTGCGCTGGCCACCTGTGACCGGAGCATGTGGGTTCGGGTATTGGGGGGTAGGGGATGTGGGTTCGGGTACTGGGGAAGGTGGGGAAGGGGTGCGCTGGCCACCTGTGACCGGAGCATGTGGGCTCGGGTATTGGGGGGTAGGGGATGTGGGTCCGGGTACTGGGGAAGGTGGGGAAGGGGGGGGCAACGTGCACCAAATGCGTGCGCAGCGCGCCGGCCGCGCCGGCTCCTAGTAAAGGAAAGGACAGAGGTGAACGTCTCTCTCTCTCTCTCTCTCTCTCTCTCACACACACACACACACACACACACACACACACACACACACACACACACACACACACACACACACACACACACACACACACACACACACACACACACACACACACACACACACACACACACACACACACACACACACACACACACACACACACGCACACACACGCACACACACACACACAAGGGTGGTGGGGGTAGAGTGTGGGGGTAGAGGCTATAGACGCCACTCACTCGCGCGCTCCTCGTCTAGACGACAGGAGCCCCCAGTCCCAGTGCCCGTGCCGTGCGTGCATGTGGGACGTGCGTGCATGTGGGATGTGTGTGCGTGTGTGCGTGTGTGCGTGTGTGCGAGAGTGCGTGCATGCGTGTGTGTGTGTGCGTGTGTCGCGGCTCCTCGTTCCAAAAGCCCGTCGTGCGGGAGTTTGGCGGCACTTCGATAATGGGCAGGTACACGCGCGACGTGACGACCGACAGGTCCTCCAGCCGACACCTGCAGCCGGGCCAGGTTTAGGCCGGGGTCGGTGGAGTGTGTGTGGGTTTTATGGCGCCGGCGACGGGGTCGGCGGCACGGGCACGCGGGACATTGACGCATGGAGCGGCGGAGCTGTGAGTCGCTCACCGTTCGCAAAAGTGCTCTCGGAACGCGCCCTTTCCGCCCGAGACGACGGGGCAGACGAGGTTGGGGCAGAGCTCCTGACCCCAACAGGGGGCTGGCGCCTGCAGCTTGCGCTTGCGCTTCGCGACAACTTCCGGGGTCGGCGGCGCGAGAGGTGCGGGCGCGGCCGGCGGCGGTGAGGACGCCGATGTGCTGACCGCGCTCTCCGTCGACGAGGGCGACGACGACATCTTAGCTTGCACCAACGGGGCCACTTTGCTACTAAGATTATGCGACGCACACCAAGGGCGTGCTCTGAGCGCCGTCACAAGAGTTTAAGAAACTCTCTGCCACAGCAGACAGGCTCGACACAGGTGCGAACTGGCGCGTGCTAGCACTATCACAGGCACACCACCGGAGCCGCCTAAGCGACTCCGTTAAGAACGGCAATGCACTTAGCTCCGTGCACAATGCCGCTCTCCCCGCGACGACGACATCTTAGCTTGCACACCTTCGGCGAGGGCGGTGCTGTGGTTGAGACGACGCCGTCTCGGGGCGGGGTGCGCACTGTGCCGAAAGTGCTGTGGTTGACGGTGCTGTGCGAGACGACGCCGTCGGCAAAACAAATTCCTAAAACCCGCGGACTCACACAGTCACGCCGTAGGTAGGTAGAAAGGTGAAGAACAGCCAGGCTCGGACTGGACACCAACGCGGTATGGGTGGACGCTGGACAGATGATGACGACACGCACGAGCGACACACAGACACAAACAAGCTCACAAGACACACAGCCAGCTGGCTGCCACACACCCTGAGTTGGCGTACACTTAACTCAAGGGAGGATTCGGCAGCTCAGCCGGGGGCTGAGCCTCTGCAGGCAGCCTTCCGCCCGCGCCGAAATTCACAGCCCTCCCGGGCCGACGGGGTGCTCCTTGGATCGGGCGCCCCGCTCCCCGCTTTTCCTGTACCTGGACTGTCCGGGTCAGGAGGGTGAGAGTATTGGGTGGGCGAGGGCAGTACATCTGGCGGGTGGCAATTGAGGGATAGCAGGTGGGTCGATTGGGGGGTCAATGGGCGCGCGGGCGGCGCTTCGTGGTCCTGCTCCTGGGCGAGCAGGGGAAGTGGTTTCTTAGGAGTCTTGGGCCCGGAGATGAGGATTGTCGAGATGTCATGCGAGAGAGCGGTAGGTGGGCGGAGGTAGCGCGGCTGGAGAGTGGTGTCCGAGGGACAGTGGTGAGTTGTCAGTTGGGGCTCGAGACGCGCGGGGCTCATACATTGGGGGCCCATTTGTGAGCTGAGTGCATGGGTGTATGAGGTTCAGAATTTTGTGGCGTCGAGGTTTGTGCATTGGTGGCTTAGCGGTCAGAGGTTCGCAGCGGGGCCGGTTGGCTGCGGGTTCGAGGCCGGGCGGGGGGGGAGGGGGGGGGGGCATCACCTCACCCTCACCCCTCACCATCCTCAAATCCTCGAATCCTCGAGACCTCGAGAGCGTCTGCGAGCGTTGATGTCGTACTGATTTTGCGCGCGAGCGTCGCGAGTTTTGGTCTGGTTGGTCCGTCGTGGCCGGTGCGCGGGAACCTGGCTGAAAACCCGCGCAGCCAGCCGAGTGTACGACCGAGGTCGCCGAGCCTTGCCCTTGGCGACGCGACGCGCACGTCGCCAAGGAGTTCGTAAAAAACGTCCGAGGTGGTTTTTACAACACAAGTACCCATTCATAAGGCGCGTTGTGCACAGAGACACACCTCTAATCTCTCCAGCGCCCCGCATGCCCCCCCCCCCCCCCCGGCTAGCCGCCCCCAGACAAGCAGATCGCGCAAGCTCTTCCCACAGACCGGAGCCTATGCGTTCCTGTTCATGGTGCGCTCTTTGGGTCCGCGCGGCCCGGATCCCTTCAGGCAAGAAGATCACGCAAATGCTGCCCTCGGCTCCGAACAGCTGCGTCGCCCGGGTGCGCCTGCATAGCCCCTGCCACCGCCTCGGTCGCGCCCGCAGTCACAGCTCCCTGCCTCCGCGCCCGCGCTGCTGCGTCGCTGCCGAAACACATGTTGAACAGCGCCCGGCAGCCATCCTGCTGCACGCCCACATCCTGCGGGTGCGCCTGCATCGCCGCCACAGCCAACTCGATGCCGCCCGCATCTGCTGCGCGCTGCTTGTGCGCAAGCCCTGCGGCGTCGTCGCCGGCGCACACGTTGCCCAGCGCGCAGCAGCCATACTGCTGCACAACCGCCACCTGCGGGTGAGCCTGCAGCGCCGCCACGATCGCCTCGATCGCGCCCGCGTCTGCTGCGCGCTGTATGCGTGCGAGCCCTACGGCGTCGCTGCCGAAGCACACGTTGGCCATCGCTAAGCAGCCAAACTGCTGCACGCCCGCCACCTGCGGGTGAGCCTGCAGCGCCGCCACAGCCAACTCGATGCCGCCCGCATCTGCTGCGCGCTGGATGCGTGCAAGCCCTGCGGCGTCGGTGCCGATACACAAATTGTTCATCGCTAAGCAGCCAAACTGCTGCACGCCCGCATCCTGCGGGTGCGCCTGCAGCGCCGCTACGACCACCTCGATGACGCCCGCGTCTGCAGCGCGCTGCTTGCGTGCGAAGGCTGCAGCGTCGATGCCGGAGCACACTCTGGCCATCGCCCGGCAGCCATACTGCTGCACGCCCGCATCCTGCGGGTGAGCCTGCAGCGCCGCCACGACCAACTCGATGCCGCCCGCGTCTGCTGCGCGCTGCTAGCGCGCCCGCGCTGCGGCGTCGCTGCCGAAGCATACGAAGGCCATCGCCTGGCAGCTATCCTGCTGCACACCCGCATGCTGCGGGTGAGCCTGCAGCGCCGCCACAGCCAACTCGATACCGCCCGCGTCCGCTGCGCGCTGCTTGCGTGCGAGCGCTGCGGCGTCGCTGCCGGCGCACACGCTGGCCATCGCCCAGATGCATTCCTGCTGCACGTCCGCCACCTGCGGGTGAGCCTGCAGCGCCGCCACGACCAACTCGATGCCGCCCGCGTCTGCTGCGCGCTGCTGGCGCGCCCGCGCTGCGGCGTCGCTGCCGAAGCATACGAAGGCCATCGCCCGGCAGCCATCCTGCTGCACGCCCGCATGCTGCGGGTGCGCCTGCATCGCCGCCACAGCCAACTCGATGCCGCCCGCATCTGCTGCGCGCTGCTTGTGCGCAAGCCCTGCGGCGTCGTCGCCGGCGCACACGTTGCCCAGCGCGCAGCAGCCATACTGCTGCACACCCGCCACCTGCGGGTGAGCCTGCAGCGCCGCCACGATCGCCTCGATCGCGCCCGCGTCCGCCGCAGCTTGACAGTTCTGCTCCTCAGCGCATATACTAGCCAACCGCCCGCAAGCCGCAAACGCGACGCGACTGACCGACGCGTGCGCCCGCAGCGCCGCCACCGCCGCCGCCACGCCCATCGCCCGCACCTCCGCATCGCTCGGTGGCGCAGCGGCAGGGACATGAGCAGCAGAGCCGCCGCCGCCGCCGCCGCCGCCGCTCGGCGCAGCGTGGCGCTGCCGCTTGGGTTCCGGGCCGGCGCTCGCACTCCCCTCCGCCGAGTTCTTGCGCACGGCCGCCACCACCTCGGCCCCCATCTCCATCTCGACCTCGATCACGTACGCCGGGTACATCTGGCGCGACTCGTACACCACGTGTATGAAGGACGCGTCGCACCCGTTCTCGCCTCCGCCGGAGACGAAGGGGCGGTGCGGCCCGCCGCGCACGCTGTTGTAGAGGAGTCGGGGAGGGCCCTCGACGCGCACGTCCGGCATGCGCATCGCCCTCGTCTCCGCGCTGATGCGCTGCCCCATCTCCTGCTGCGAGCCGAGGGCGGCCTTCACGATGAGCAGCTGCACGCGGCTCCCGCCCGAGCCGGAGATGCGGTGCGCGTACCGGCCGCCGATCGGGTACGACGGGTCCTCCGCGAGGTAGATGCCCTGGCCGTAAAAGCCGCCGTTCGAGAAGCGCGGGTCGAGCCCGTTCTGATGCGCGAGCACATCCTCCGCCGCCCGCTCCGCCGTGCCGTGGAAGAGGAGCATCTCGTTGACGTCGCCGCCGGCGCAAGTGTGGACGAGCGATTCGTCGCGGTAGTGGGCGTACTCGCGCCACAGCATCTTGTTCTGCACGCGCTGCACGCGGCTCAGCCTTGCGCTCGGGCAGCTCCGCGCCAGCAGCGTCTTGATGAGGAGCGCCTCGTTGCTCTGCATCGAGAGCTGGACGAGCTTCGACTCGGTCGGGCCGCCGTCCCCGCCGCCGGCGCCCCACTCGTCGGGGAACGTCATCGGCAACGGGCGCGCGCCCCCTCCCAGAAACCCCCGCGCGTGTTTTCTCTTTAGAGCGCCTTCGTTGTAATTCACAGTTGCCAGGGGTGTGTGTGTGTGTGTGTGTGCCAGGGGCGGGTGTGTCTTGTGAGCCTGTTTGTGTCTGTGTGTCGCTCGTGCGTGTCGTCATCATCTGTCCCGCGTCCACCCATACCGCGTTGCGGTTGGTGTCCAGTCCGAGTCTGACTGTTGTTCATCTTTCTACATACGGGCGGGGCTTGCATTTTTGCCGTCGCCTGTCGCCGCTACAGCGCTGAGCACACCTATTCTTCTCTACACAGTGAGTCATTCGGAGTCGCATTCGATGGCCAGAGTGCGATTGTGTGTGTGCGGGAGTTGGGTTGTCGGGAGGGCGGAGGGGCAGGCTGCTCACCCACGTGCACCGGGCCAGTGCTTGCACTTTGAATGCCGTGGGGCTCCTGCCCGTGTCCGGGTGTGGAGATGCGAGGGTCGCCCCCCCTTGCCCCACCACTTGTGTGTGTGGAGAAATTTACCTTACCTTACCTGTTACCCTACCTTACCCTCGGGAAGGGGGTACCTCGTTGACGTTGTGTGCACACATTTCGTTTGATTGATAGTATATGAAGAGTCGTAGTACATGGACGCTTACAGTCGCACGGGGCCACACACTGACGCGTCGATGACGGTTGACGGCTCCCAGAAGCCGTCAGAAGAAATCTCAGGTTCAAAGCGCCCCCTCTTCCACCAACAACGAGAAACTGTTACCTGTTTTCCGCCTCTCTGACTCATGGCGCCCCGCCGACTCTCGACGACGAGGCGCCTGCGTCCGCGGTCTCGCCACCCGCCCCTGTGCAGCCAGCGGCGCCACCGCCCGCCGACAGTCGTCGCTCGGCCGCGCTCGCGGCCGCCTATGAGTTCACTGCCACTTGATCGATTCCACGCGTTCGTCGACGGCCTAGTCGACGGCGCCTCTCGCTCCTACCCGCCGCGCGAGATCGACCTCGACCCTTCCATACTGCTACTCGAGGGACGACGACTATCCATACCTACAGCGCATCTTAACTCTCCATGCTACGACTCCTGCCCAATACAGGTACAGCAGATACTGCGATCCAGTGTGCACGCCATCGCACTCATGCAGAAGCTATCTGGACTCGCTTCTACTCGCGCCTCCCGTTGCGCCCGCCGCGCCGCCTCCGCCTCTGCGGCCGCCTCTGCGCCGCGCCTCCGCTTCTTGCCACCTGCGGCGGTAGTGGTGGGCAGCCGTCAGTCCAACCTCTCTCATCTCCCCATATCTCCCCATATCTCCCCATATCTCGCGAGGTTTAGACGCTCATCTCCCCATATCTCCCCATATCTCCCCATATCTCCCCATATCTCGAGGCCCTCTGCGCTGCTCTCGCTCCCCACACGATGCGTTCGGAGGGTAGAGCAGCTCGTGTTGCTCCCAGCGTGGGCGCACGAGGCCCATATCTCCCCATATCTCCCCATATCTCCCGGCGTGGGCGCACGAGACGCTGTGTGTGCAGAGGGCCCGGTGAGCGCGCCGGTGTGTTGTCCTCGCTTGGGGTGTGTGAACCGGAGAGGCACTAGGCGCGGGCTAGGCGCGCGGGGAGGGAGGAGGTGTGAAGAGACGCCGCTCACGCCTCGACCGCACGCCTCGCTCGCTCCTCGCTCCTCGCTCCGCGCGCTCCCCCCCCCCCCCCCTCGCCCCCCTCTCCTCCCTGTCCCTCTCTCTCGCTGTCTCTCTTTCCGCTCCGCGCCTGCTGCCACGGCGGCGGCGACAGGCGCCACAGCGGGGGGCGGAGAGCCGCCTGCAGCGCAAGTGCAGGCACAAGTGTGATCGTGCGTGCGTGCGTGTGTGCGTGTGAAAGTAAAAAGACCGCACCCAGCGCGTGGCCGTCTCCCCACGAGTGGACGATGCCCTTGCCTACAGACTCTCATCACACACACAGCTCAGGGGCGTGGCCACGACTACCCCGCACCTCGGCGCCCTCGCCCGGCTCGTGCCCGACGGCGAGCAGCAAGTCGGTGGCCTGTTCACAGAGCGCACCTGTGAACAGATGCGGCTCGCAGGGTCGCCGATGGAGCAGCGTCAGGCCGGTGGCCGTCGAAGCGATGAGCTCGAACCTCCGCTTGCCGATGTTGACGCCGCCGTACACGCGCGAGACGACGACGGCGACGTCCGCCGCGGCAATCTTTGTGAGTGCTCCGAGCAGCCGCTGTCCGCCGCGCGCCTCGCCGTCGTCTTCGTAACCCTTCTCCACCTTGGGCCGCTTCCCGCCCGCGGAGCATACGCGGAATGCGGTCATGTTGTGGTCCGCCGCACCGCACACGCTCTCTTGCAGCAGCAACGCGATGGCGGCAGCGGCGGCCACCTTTGTGCGGACTGGCCACGCGATTTGCGCTGTGAAGATGGAGCCGTCGCAGTTAGCCGATTCGCCGCGTGCGATCTCGATGGTGCCGTGCGGCGTGCTGCGACGCGAGCGGAGCACCATTGGCAAACGCAAGAAAACGCACCGCCCAGGATGGCGCTAAGAGGTTCCTCTTTTCCGCGCCCCCCCCCGCAAGGCGCGCGATACACACACAAGGATCGAACCAGTAACATGGTACCTCCGGTGAGATCTCCCAGGTCGACGGCGGTCTGCGAAGATTTGAGTCCCTTCGTGTGTGAGCTACGAAAAAGATCGAAAATAGTGCCCAAGGTAACCCGGGGGAACTCGCGTCCCGGAACCTCTGCCCTACCTCGAAACACGGCGGTATCGGATATACAGCAATATCCTTTGGCCGCGTTGGGTAGCGACACACCAACAGGCTTGGATTTCGCTCGCAAGGGTGTGCGGTACTCGAAGATTTAATCTCCACACCGGCGAACGCAACGAGAGACAAGAAAGATAAACACCGCGGTCTCGCCACAAAAAAGAAAACGTCGCTATCGGGGAGCAGGTCTGAAAAAGAAAATCGCGTGTTTCTTTTTTCGCACGACACTGGGCACGGGACTACGTACTTTTAGCTTGCTGGGAGAAAGCACGGGGAAGCTTCACGGGTTCGAGTCGTCAAACATCAAGCAGCGGAGGTATGCCGAGGGGGGAGGGGGACCGGGGGGCGGTAAGTCGTCGTCGCCCGGCGCTGCTTGCAGCACCATGGCGATGGCGCTAAGAGGTTCCTCTTTTCCGCGCCCCTCCCGCAAGGCGCGCGATACACAGAAAAGAGAGAGGGGGTTGTGTTCTCTAGGCCCCTAAGGGCCCTACGCGCGGCGTGAGAGCTCGGAAGCGAGCTTTGCACGGCGATCGAGGATGGCACGGTTCACCCCCTTCTCTCTCTCTCTCAACGTATGTGGATGTGACGGGCGATCTCCTGTGGGAGATGGACATGCAACAGTATACCGACGAGAACTTCAACCAACACGGCGTTCAGGCGCGGACGGCAGACTATCGCGAACGCAAGGTTGGGCTTTTTGGGGACTTTCTCGAGCGCGTCGGTCACGGAAAGTACGTCGAGTGGGTGAGCAACGAGGAGCAGGGAGGGTATTACGAGCTCAAGCTGGTGATGAAGGTGGGCGTGCCTGTGGGCAAGCTGCAGCCCTGGGAGGCACAGACATGTGATTCCCCTCACGTCCCTTGCATGGCAGGAGGTGCCGATCTCTCAGCGGGTGGGACCTGGCCGGGCCGTGCTGTGAGGCGCGGTGCAGGGCTCCAAGTGCTGTGACAGTTGCCTTGGCCAAGAATGCAGTCCCACCAGAGACTTGTAGCGCTACAAGTCTGGCCGAAACGGCCTTCACGCCCGCTGGCGGGCAGCCGGCGCCGGCGGGGACGCTGGCCGCGAGGCCGGGGCGCGCGGGCGGGCTCGGGCGGGCGCAGGGGCGCAAAGCATACCGGTCGGCGAGGCCATTTTGCGACGGCTACCGGTTCGCACCGGTTCCCGCTTAGGGCGCCGGCACCCCAGCGTAGAGGGCGTCGTTTAGCCCTCTTTTTGGTGCATATACGTGTACCTCAAGTTTCTCCGAGATCTCGCCTGCGGGCAGTTATTCACACCTCGGCAATACGCCTACTGTTGTGGCCTAAAGTCTGCGCAGGTTGTCAGGGACACGATCCCGGCGTGAACACGACTAACTGACGGAGCCGCTCCTCACAGTCGCACGCACCGCGCTGCGGCGCGTGCGACTGTCTTTGTTTGAAGTTAAAAGTCGAATCAGAGCGCCGTCGGCGCTGTCCCTCGTTTTCCTCCCACGGACCGCCCGTCCGGGACCGCTCCGGGACGCACGCCGGCGAAGCACCATCAAGCTGCTGTACGGCCCCGGCATCGCCTCCCCTGGCTTAGCTAGAGAGAGAGATATTGTGCACATGGTCTGTATCTACAGTATAACCATGACACTCCACCTCCCAGAGCTCGTCCCGGTCCGCCACGGCCATCCTCGGCCTCCGGACGGAGGGCCCCCGGCCGCGGCGCGGTGAGTGAGGCGGCGTCACAAATCCGACCACAGAGCACCGGGACGCGGTCGGGCGATCTGAGGCCCAACTAGGCGTATGCATTGCCCATCCAGGGCTATCACCTGGACCTATCAACAGGCGCCTGCGGCGCCGTGCTCAGGAGCTGCTGCTCCAACCTGTTCACACTTTCGTACGACGCACAGAGACTGTGTTCGATGTCGTTGCCACAGGCCTGTGCACAGGCCTGTGGTGGCAACCAGTGGGCAGCGCAGCACCCGCAGCCTCTGTATCCGCAGCAGCATCCGCCGCATCCACAGTGTGTGCCTTCGTTGCCTCGCCACTCCTATCCTCGTCCGCCGCACCAGCAGCCGCAGTACCCAATTCTTCGGCCCGAGCTCATGCCGCTGCCTCGGCACAGCGGCGCAGGAGTGGATCGCAGGCATAGGCCGCCGCCGCCGCTTCGGCCGCAGCCACGGCCACAGCACCGACAGCCGCAACCTCAGGCCTATCCGCCGCAGCCGCATGCCTACCAGCACCTGCGCCCGCTGCACCCGCCGCACCCGCCGCACCCGCCGCACCCGCCGCACCCGCAGTGTGTGCCGCGGTCTTTGATGCCTCGCCACTCCTATCCTCCGCCGCATGGAACGCATCAGCAGCTGCAGTACTCTCTTCCGCCCGAGCCCATGCTGCTGCCACAGCGCAGCGGCGCAGGAGTGGATCGGCACACGTGGCCGCCGCCGCCGCTTCCACCGCAGCCACGGCCACAGTACCGGCAGCCGCAACCTCAGGCCTATCCGCCGCAGCCGCACGCCTACCCGTACCTGCGCCCGCACCCACCGCCGCCCCACCCGCTACCGCCCCACCCGCTGCCGAGGCCTCCGGGCGGTGGTCTGGCGGGCGGTGGCAAGCGACCCCGCGACGAGTCGCTCGACCACAGCAGCTGGCGGCGCGACGAGCATCAGAGCAGCGATGCTCGCATCTGCGTCCAGCCCAGCCGTAGCGCTGCCGGTGGTCAGCTCAATGCTAAGCAGCTCAACAACCGCATCTCTGCTGCCAGCGGCACCGAAGAGCTGCTTACGCTCTTCGCTGCCCACAGCACGAGCTTGGATCACATCCACGCAGGAAACTTGTGGAACAAGCTCGGCAAGCAGAACATTGAGCGGCGGCACGAGGAGCAGCTTGAGCAGCTGGTGCAGCGCACGCTCGACCTCGTCGCGTCATGCGAAGCACGCAATCTGGCGAACGTAGCTCACGGCGTTGCCAAGTGCCGGCTGCCAGCGAGTGTGGTGAGCTCGCTGTTCGCAGCGGTGGCGGAGGCGGCGGTGCGGAGCGGGCTGGCCGGCTTTAAGCCTCAGAACCTGGCCAACACGGTCTGGGCGTATGCGACGGCGGGCGTGGCTGCAGATGCGCTGTACACGGCGGTGGCGGAGGCAGCTGTGCGCGGCGGGCTGGCCGGCTTTACGCCTCAGAACCTGGCCAACACGGTCTGGGCGTATGCGACGGCGGGCGTGGCTGCAGATGCGCTGTACGCGGCGGTGGCGGAGGCGGCGGTGCGCGGCGGGCTGGTCAGCTTCAATCCTCAGGACTTGGCCAACACGGTCTGGGCGTACGCGACGGCGGGCGTGGCTGCGGACGCGCTGTACGCGGCGGTGGCGGAGGCGGCGGTGCGCGGCGGGCTGGCCGGCTTTAAGCCTCAGAACCTGGCCAACACGGTCTGGGCGTATGCGACGGCGGGCGTGGCTGCAGATGCGCTGTACGCGGCGGTGGCGGAGGCGGCGGTGCGCGGCGGGCTGGTCAGCTTCAATCCTCAGGACCTGGCCAACACGGTCTGGGCGTATGCGACGGCGGGCGTGGCTGCAGATGCGCTGTACGCGGCGGTGGCGGAGGCGGCGGTGCGCGGCGGGCTCGCTGGCTTCAAGCCGCAGGAGCTGTCCAACACGGTCTGGGCGTATGCGACGGCGGGCGTGGCTGCAGATGCGCTGTACGCGGCGGTGGCGGAGGCGGCGGTGCGCGGAGGGCTAGCTGGCTTTACGCCACAGGCCCTGGCCAACACGGTGTGGGCGTTTGCGACGGCGGGCGTGGCTGCAGATGCGCTGTACGCGGCGGTGGCGGAGGCGGCGGTGCGCGGCGGGCTGGCTGGCTTCAAGCCGCAGGAGCTGTCCAACACGGTCTGGGCGTATGCGACGGCGGGCGTGGCTGCAGATGCGCTGTACGCGGCGGTGGCGGAGGCGGCAGTGCGCGGAGGGCTAGCTGGCTTTACGCCACAGGCCCTGGCCAACACGGTGTGGGCGTTTGCGACGGCGGGCGTGGCTGCAGATGCGCTGTACGGGGCGTTGGCGGAGGCGGCGGTGCGCGGCGGGCTGGCTGGCTTCAAGCCTCAGGACCTGGCCAACACGGTGTGGGCGTATGCGACGGCGGGCCACTACCATCAGGCATTGCTTGCCGAGTGCTCGCGCGTGATCAGCGACTCGCTCGCGCAGGATACGTCGAGGTGGAGCACGCAGGACCGCGTTCAGCTTCACCAGTGGCAGCTCTGGCTCTCCCTTGAGCGAGGAGCAGACGGGCAGCAGCATCTCCTCTCCGAGTCCCAGCGCCAGCTCTGCCGCGACGCCATGCAACACACGCAAGTGACGATATCGCGCTTGCAGCGCTCGGTTGCAGCTGCCCTCGCCGCCGTCCATTCTGGCTTCGAGGAGGAGTATCTCGAGCCACGCACCGGCTACTCGCTCGACCTGGCGCTGCCCTCGACACGCATCTCGATCGAGGTGGACGGCCCCTCTCACTTCCTGCTTACCGACGGCCGGGGCGTGCGCAGACCCAACGGGCCCACGCTGCTCAAGCGGCGCCTCCTCGCGGCGGCAGGCTGGCGGGTGATCAGCGTTCCATTCTTCGAGTGGAACGCCTTGTCGACGGCCAGCGAGCGGCAAACCTACCTGGAGAGGGCGGCGGTCGCCCCGCCGCAGTAATCTACGCCTACGGTCCACTCCAGTACAGGGGGCCAAAAGTAAAATGTGCACCGCACTTCTACTATCTTTGTCCTTGGAGAGCCTCCTCAATCAGAGTAAGCGGATAGAGTACACACTGTCGCGGCCTTTTGGACCGGCTCGCGGCTGTCTTCAGGTTTTGCTCACGATCAGGGAACCAAAAAGAGCTCAAAAGGAAAAGTACGCATATATGTACGTCGTACACGACATTGGCTCTCACAGGGCTGCAAGTCTGCTCGCGCGCCCGTACCGTACGGCTCACAAGCCCCGCAGCCGCATCACGTAGCACACACCCGGAAGGACGTCCCAACGGCCGAGGAACAAGAGGGGTGCGGGGAGCCTCCCCGACAGCTCACTGCGGCTTTGCCTTCGCCCACGCCTTCTCGCTCGGCTTACCCTCGCCGTAAAACTCGACGAACTCGGCGAAGGTGTAGAGCTGGCCGTCGGTATCCTCGCGCCGCTCCGCATCGGCGCCAACCGCGCCGTCGCCGGGCTCGCCGCCGTCGGCGGGCCCCGTGAGGGCGAGTGGTGGCGGCGCGTTGAGGTCCTATGGTGGAGAGGAGGAGCTACCGGCCTCAACTGAGTGGTCGGCGAGCAGTTGAGGTGTGTGTGTGTGTGTGTGTGTGCCAGGGGCGGGTGTGTCTTGTGAGCCTGTTTGTGTCTGTGTGTCGCTCGTGCGTGTCGTCATCATCTGTCCCGCGTCCACCCATACCGCGTTGCGGTTGGTGTCCAGTCCGAGTCTGACTGTTGTTCATCTTTCTACATACGGGCGGGGCTTGCATTTTTGCCGTCGCCTGTCGCCGCTACAGCGCTGAGCACACCTATTCTTCTCTACACAGTGAGTCATTCGGAGTCGCATTCGATGGCCAGAGTGCGATTGTGTGTGTGCGGGAGTTGGGTTGTCGGGAGGGCGGAGGGGCAGGCTGCTCACCCACGTGCACCGGGCCAGTGCTTGCACTTTGAATGCCGTGGGGCTCCTGCCCGTGTCCGGGTGTGGAGATGCGAGGGTCGCCCCCCCTTGCCCCACCACTTGTGTGTGTGGAGAAATTTACCTTACCTTACCTGTTACCCTACCTTACCCTCGGGAAGGGGGTACCTCGTTGACGTTGTGTGCACACATTTCGTTTGATTGATAGTATATGAAGAGTCGTAGTACATGGACGCTTACAGTCGCACGGGGCCACACA